CCACCCGCCGCCCAGGTCCGCGCCGACTTCCGGGACAGCGTGTGGCGTCACACTACGCCACGTGCGTGCGCCAGGGGGCCCGCGTGTAAACACTAGCACACGCGGGGCCCGAGACGCGCTGCACCAGCAACGGGTACCGAGGCGTTCCAGCACCAAACCCGTGGAGCTGGGCCCGGCGGGAACAGTGTTGCTACGCCCTGTTTACTCTGTGAACACCGGACCCAGCATGCAGCGCGCGCCGCTGTCCCACAGGTCCCTTTAAGCACTGAGGCCCGGGGGTGGGTCTTTAAACCATGAGTCCCGGCATGCACCGCGCGCTGCCTTACCGCGGATCCCCATCAGGCGTTGCGAGTTCCGGCACGCAACGCGGGCCGCAGTCCAAACGTTCCCCTTTCGCGCTAAGGCGGGCGTCCTGTGAACTACGGGTTCCGGCATCCCACGCGCGCTGCCGACCTACTGTCCCCTCCCGCGCTAAGGCGGGCGTCCTGAGAACTACGAGTGCCGGCATGCAACGCGGGCCGCTGAGCCGCAGTCCCGCGGTCCCGCGTGCCAGTGCGGGGTCAGGGTCAGAGGGGTTGTGTCTGTACAGAGTTGTCAGAGCCGCCCGCCCACGTGGGGAGGCCTCGGCTTCGTGGCGGGTTCCTAGTACGGATAATGGAAGTCGTCGTGGTGACCTTGAAGGGCATTCCTCAGAGCGGGGTGACTGCACGCCTGATGTTCCCAGGAGCTGTGGACGGAAGCACCTGTCCTCGCCGCCTCAGAGGTTGGGTTCCCTGGCCTCAGGCAGGACAAAAAGTTCTCAGAGTTTAGAGGAGCCACACCGAGCTTGTTTTGTGTCCACCATAAAGTTAAGTTATATATCAACGTGGAAAACTCACAGTTAGCTGGAAATTAAACAATACTGAGTAACCCGTGTATTAAAGAAGAAGCCACACAGCAGTAGGAAAATGTGAGGGAAAAGAAGAATAGACTAAAACTGGGTGCTGCAGTGCTTAGAATGTATGGCTAACATGTCTGTGTTTAAAGAAGAAATATATCAAGAATCTAGCTTTTGACCGTAAGAAATCAGAATAAGACGAGCAAACGAAACCCCACGCAAAAAGGCAAGAAATAATTATTAGAGCAGGAATAAATGAAATATAAAAACAGAAATCTAAAGAAATTGACAAAACTTGCTGGGTTGACAGAGGGGGCGGGGGTGGGAGGGGAAGGAATTACTAAGGTCGGGAATGAAAGAGAAAATAGCACTGCCAACCGCACAGAAACACAAAGGATTCTAAGGGAATAGCATGAAGACCAAGTTAGATGAAATAGATCAATCCCTAGGAGAACAAAAATGCAGAAATTGAAGTAGAAATAGGAGCAGCCTGCAACACGTACGTAGTTAGCACCGATCTCACTGTGTCTGAAGGTTACAAAAGTCTTCACTCCACATCCTTTACTCCCCACCTGTGTCCTGGCCCCACCGCTGGTCCCCCAGACTTTTCTCTAGAACAAGCACGTGGAACCTGTGGCCCTCGGGCCGCCCGCCTCGTCTATGCGGCCCGTGTTAGCCTTTGAGTTTGACCGCTCTAGCAGCGCCTCCAAAGCCCAGGTCCTCGGGTGGCAGGTGTTGAAAGCAGCCACCCCAGCAGCAGCAGCTGTTGCTGATTTTCTCCCCCTGGTTACCCAAGAAGCACATCTCACTAACAGAAGTATTGTTGTTCTAGAATTCACACAGAAGCACGTATTTCCTATTAAAGCTCCTTAAGAAACAGCAACACGATTTTCACGCTGCTGCCGTGAGGGGCAGTGGCCTCTTCCCCATCCTAATATGCAGGATGGGGCAAAAGTGGGTTTACAGTTGTTCATATGGAAAATGATACAAGAATTAATAAAAATAACACAAGAATACACTTTTGTGTACTCACAACTGTAAACCTACGTTTGCCCCACAGAGCAAGTGAGGGGAGCATGCTGGGAGAGGAGCTGCAGAGACGTGGGCGGTGAGCCCGAGCGGTCGGTCAGTGTGTCCAGCGCCGTGGAGAGTTCAAGTGAGACCAAGGGCTGGCTTTCCAGTGGGGAGCCAGGGTAACGGGAGGTCCAGGCTAGGACTGAGTGGGGCTTGTCTGGGAGGGGGTTGGGGCAACTTTGTGAAACACGTGACGGGAGAGGAGCACAGACCAGGGTTGCCAATTCGTTTTTGCCCCAGCAGTGACATCTAACAGCTTTTAGCTGGATCTCCATCTCTCTTTGTTCTTCTCTCCCCATTTAAAAATTACATAAATTATGAATGTAGCAAAGATCACGTGTAATCCTAAAATGAACCCATCAGCCAGTCTAAAGCCTAGCCCATTGCCAATATTGTTACAGCTGCCAACGGGCTCCTCGCCATCTCATCCTGTCCCCTGGGTTCCACACCGGAGGGGTCCACCACCTCAATGTCATGTTTGTCATTCTCCTTTCATGTTCTGTTTGCTGCATGTGAACATTGTATAGGAAGTCCTCACCTAGTGTCCTTGATGGGTTCTGCGGCTTTAAGCAACATTGAATGGAATGATGCCATTTGAGGACCTGCTTTTTTCATTGTTTAGTTTGCTTGTTTATGAAAATGCATCATATATGTGCGCCTGTCACAGGATGATGCCCCTACCCATTCTCTTGTGGGTGGACACTGAATTGTGTTCCAGTTCTGGTGTGTGGAAGGTGCTAAGCAAACCCCCTGTGCTGGTCTCTCTTGGGGGCAAGGACCCAGGGGTGGACTTGCTAAGTCATAGAGGGTGCATGAGCTGATGTTTTCACAAATGGTCCTGTACTCCCACCACACACACCCTGGGCAATGTCTTAATCTCTGCCAATCTAGATGAAATCTGTGATTGTAATTCATATTCATCTAATGACCATTTGGCTTAGCATCTTTTCATATCCTTTTTTTTTTCTTTTAGTAACAGATAATTTACATATTAGGAAAGCTACAGTCCAACGAAAAGAAGGTGGTTCTACTAAAATAATGCGTATTTAATATTTATGTAAGTGTGGTAGGTACTGTATAGTACGTATTTGTTGTGTGACTATCCTTATGGAATGAGTGTTCACCTTTGGGCAGCACATTCTGTGGAATTCCTTCAGTCAGTCTCTGTTGGAGTTAAGCTCAGTCCCTGTTTATCAGAGAATGCTTTATTTTGCTGTCATTGTGGAAAGATAGTTTTGAGTTTTGGGAGGCATACTCACAGATGGCAGTGGTATTTTTCATTTAGAAGACGTTAGTCCATGGGATTCTGGTCTCCATTGTTGAAACTGCGTGTGTCTGAGTGTTGTGGCTTCATGGGTTGTCTGTCCTTTCTTTGTTTCTGGTGGCGTGATCGCCTCGAAACGTGTCTGAGAGTGGGTTACTTTTTGTTGGTTCTGTTTTTCAATAATTTCATTAGTTCTTGAAAATTCTCAAGCATTCTCTCTAAAAATTTCTTCTTCCTTTTAGTCCCTGGAGTGCTGAGTAGTTATTTGTTAAATCTCCTGGTTTTATAATTTTCTTCTTATTTCTCTGTTCAGCATTCTGGAACAGCGGTCGCCAACCGGTGGTCCGTGGACTCCTGGTGGTCCGTGAGGTCCGAAAGGTTGGCGACGGCCGTTCTGGAGGATTTCTTCAGGTGTAGCCTGTAGTTTATGAATCTCTCTTCATCTGTGTGTAATCTGATAACTCGTCTTTTGAGGCTTTACTTCAAAAACTGTAATTTTTATGTATGAAAGTTCTATTTCGATATTTTTCAAATATGTATGTTTATTTATAGTCTCTTTTTACTTGCTCATTTTTTTGGTAATTTACTCTTTTTTCTTTCATAGTTCACACCTATTTTCTAAGATTCTGAATCTGATCATTTGAATAATTGTTATCTTTGTGGGTATAAATCTGTTTTATGTTTCTTCCAACTGACTCTTGTTCGTAGAAGTGCATTTCCTTTGTGGCTGGGGCCCTTGGGGAGCTCACATTGGGCTGATGTTAATCTGTGGGACTCCTGGTGACATTTGCTATGACAAGAGCCAGCGGGCCAAGGTGGGGGCACTTGTGAATCCTCGCAGGGTAGGAGTTGAGGTCACCTGTGCTGCGGTGCCGGGAGCCCTCAGCTCTGATACTGGCAAGTTCTCCGAGGCAGCCCCACTTTGAGTTTTTCTGACTGGTTTCAACTCATCAGGGTTCCCTTGGTTTGGGAGCCTTATCAGTGGTTCTCAACCTTCTGGCCTTTTAAATACAGTTCCTCATGTTGTGACCCAACCATAAAATTATTTTCGTTGCTATTTCATAACTGTAATGTTGCTACTGTTATGAATCGTAATGTAAATATCTGATATGCAGGATGGTCTTAGGCGACCACTGTGAAAGGGTCGTTCGACCGCCAAAGGGGTTGTGACCCACAGGTTGAGAACCGCTGTTCTAGAGCATCTAGATGCCTATTGCCCAAAGTGGAAATTCTTGTCTTTGATTTTTCTGTTTTTAACTGGATTAAGTAGATCAAAGAGGATACCCCCCCTTTCTTCTTTTTCTTGGGCCTGTTTTTCAAGATATGGCACTGATCTTAGAGGAGCCGTGTGCTCAGGGTCCTCTTTATTTTG